GCTCCACTCAATTGATTCATATAAAACAAACTTTTGGTCAGATAATGCATGAGAGTAAGAAGATCGTTCTTGAAGAAATTAAACTTTAAAATGAAAAAACACCATGACAAGGTAAAGCAATGCTTCCCTTTACTTTGAAGGTAGCCGCATATTCTTTGTTAATATTTTTAATTATATATATATATATATATATATATATATATATATATACATCAATATATTCATTATCTTGCATGAATCTCAGGACATAACACAAATCTTATTATAACTTTTTGAATAAGAAATATTCATACTTCGATTAAAAATTATTCAGAATTTAGATTTCAGCAAACTTACAGTCATACTAATAGGTTTGGCGAGAGGGGCGCAATGATGCAAAAAGTTGGTACATTTCGAGTCAATTCAAGTTGTTAAATCACTTTTAAACATTTTTAATGCATAATTGGAAGGTCAAACAGATTACAAAGCTTATAGTTAAATCGAGCAACTCGGCGAGAGGGGGGGGGGGGAGGAGAGGAGCTGAAGTCAAACATTGCTTTTGCACCCCATATCCGATGAATACCTCACGCTCCTGTTGGTGCTAACCACTGCAACCACAACCTACCAGTTACCGTCAACCACCATTGGCCACCACTTGCTCCTTGCAGCAAAGTCACTTGTGGAGCGACGTGCATTGCGGAATCTTAGCATACATTACGAAACTGTGAAGTACCCGGTGGAGCAATACATCTTGTAATACACCGTGCACTTATGCACCCCTAAAATGATGTAACAATGCATCTTGAATATGGTGCAATGACACATCTCTAAGACGTATAACAATGCACCCCTAAAATTGTGTAAGATTACTCTTCAACAAGTATTTTTTGGGATGCTAAGACACTCCACTCAAAATGAAATTTTAAGAAGATCCACTTACATAGAATATTAGAGTTTTCATAATTTTGTGGCTTAGGTAAATACCTTGATTGCTATAGCCTCATAAATCATTTATCATAGCCCTCCCTAAAATTGATGTAAGAATTTTTGTTAGAGAATTGATTAAAGGCTTCAATATCCCCACTTAAATCTTGTATCGAGCTTTAGTTTGGGCTAACTCATGAGTGAAAACAATGTAACATGGAATTGAATGAAAAGTTTTTGTGATGGCCTAAGCTAAGTACCTCAATGGCCATGAAAAAATTTTGATACAACTTTGATAGCCTATGTTAAGCACCCCAAATGAAATGGGGCTTGGATGATCTGCTTATTAGCCATGAAATACACATGTTTATAAGGACCACATGAATTTTGAAAATATTTTCTTAAAATATAAAAATGTTATTAAATATTTCCAGTATTAGCTAGACTTTGACTACTATTTTTCTTTCCTAGCTATCTGTCTTTTATGTGCGTACGAAGTAGGGGTGTAAGTGTGTCAAGCTGACTCGTGAGTTGGCTGGAGCTCGACTTGATAAGTAGCTCGGGAACTAAGTTCGATGAGCTCAGTAAGTCAAATTCAAGCTAGCCCCAACTCGACTCGTTAGCTTGTGAGCCGGCTCAGTTAAAAGAGTATTAATAGAAAAAAATACTTAAAATATATTAAAATTAAAAATTTTATCTATAAAATATTAAAATATTTAAAAAATAATATATTGTATTTAATATAAATTAATTATTTAGTATTTCTCTCCTAATGGCTCACTCTATATGTTATTTTATTATAACACTATCTTAAATTAATATTATTTTATCTCTTTTATAATAAACAAGCTGGTTCGAACTCGTAGACTTACGCTCGAGCTTGTGCTCGAGCTCGTGGGACTCCGACGATCCCCCCGGAGCATGTCGGAAGTCCCCACACCTGCTCCAAATAGCCAACAGTTCAAAATAAATAAATAAATAAATAAATAAGAAAAAAAAAGAAGGAAAGAAAAGAAAGAAGTTTTCTTACCAATGCAAACTTTCCCGTGGGCTTCCTCGAATGTGAATTAAGAAGGAAAGAAAAGAAAAGGCTAAGTTTAATTTCTATTTCTTTTGGTGGGTTTGAGAGATCCATGATGAGATGTTTGAACTTATGAGTTATTCTGTATGGTTTGTTAGTCGTTGTTGGTTGGTGTCATATGTGAAATCTTAATACATGCAATCAAGTTCCTCTTATTTTTGGTGATATGGTTTTTGAGGATTTTATGGATTACCTTTTTTAGTGATATGCATATGTAAAACTCGCGAGTTTGATTTTACGTGGGTTAAAGACAATCAAGAACGCTATTTTTTACAAGGTATGTTGTCTTCTTATAGTGACAGATTCGTTGGTTGGTGTATTGAGTTTTCCAAGGCCTCACGCCTGCAAAAAACTATAGTTAATTACTTCTTTTAACAATTTCAGATTGTGTTATGAGTAATGAATTTTATTTTTTAGCATTCAAGAAAGATGAACTCCATGATTTCAAAGACCTCCTAATGTTAACTCTATCACTGAAGTCTTCGAAATTCTCTGCTGACGTCACATTAGACACATAGCTATGGGAGACAGTTTTACAGGTACCCGCAGGAATCACGTAGAATTGTGACTTCTTCTAGTGGGCAAATAGTCTGGAAAATTCCACTGCCAACGGTGTTCAGGAATTGATTGTATCCTTGGAGGACGGTGAGCTCGTGACATACACCATCTGTATTTTAAAAATAACATCATCATATTGTTAACTATAATTTTAACAGTTTTTTTTTCTTTTTTTAACAATTTTGATACACATTGTTAAATGATATATATGAGTTATTTTTTGTATTGTTCTGAAATGAATTTTAATTTTTTTACTTCTCAAATATCAAATATATTGCTATGACAGTTCTGTTACAAACAAAATTACTACATAAGGGTAGAAATATCATTTTTCTAGAAATAGCTGCCACATAGGTGTTTTCAAACTGCAAAAAACAAATAGTCAGCCAGCTTATTCGCAATAGCTTATTCATAAGCTGCAGCTGCCCCAAACAGACCCAATCTCAGCTTGGGTTGTAGGTATTGAGATTATGGTTGTTGAAATTACTTCATTTGGTATTCAGTGTTTTCAATTTAGCTATTTTAGGATTTCCCACTAGTTCATAAGTCATTTTTTCAGTGGGCAGGGATTCTGACATTGGATTTATCCCAAAATTTTCTAACTGCTTAGAATTGATAGCAAATTGTGAGGCTAGGATAGTGAAAATATCAGTTTTATACACACTATTTATCACCTTAGGGGTGACTGTCTCAAATGACCAATGAAATTCATTCGTGTTCATTTACTCAATCGGTGACATCTATAGTTGATATTTATTTATGAATGACGTCTGACAATAATGAATTTATTAGATTCATTTTGTTGGTATACTCACTTTTAACTAAATGTATGAAAATTTAAAAGACTCACTTGGGCAATTCAACTAATAAATCTGTCTGCATTTTAGTTGTTCGAGTTGAATTTTAGTCTTAAGCGACTAAATAAAATTAATATGACATTAACATATTCACTACACAAGAATGCAATAAATCTAATTAAATTTACACAACTTGCCTAATCAAAGAAATTAGAATGCCACTATACTAAAAGTAAGTCATGCTTTATATCGGGCTACATATTAGAATTTATAGTATGTTTATTCAATATAGATTTGGTAGGAAAAGTGATGAGCCAAAATATCAATAAAACATAATGAACATAAACCAATCATCAAGCACCTCGGATGCTTCAATAAACATTAGACAAACACAAATCCTTTTTAAATAGAAAAACACAACAACTATAAGTCATTGCTCATAAACACAATCACCATTCGATCAAGTCCATGAGCAACAATACAATTTTCTTTCGCTTTTTGCTCCTTCTGGCAAGTGAAAACAACACATTGTAAGTTGCATCCGTAGTATGTTTGGCTATGTTGGACAATGCCTCTTGTTATCGATGACTTGTTACAACTCATTTTTCATGATTCAATATCTATGAATTATGTAAGTACAACTAGCCAAATCAATCTTAAACCATAAACAAATACAAAGAAAAATGTGCAAAATTCATACAACGTGTAGTGTTGCTACACAACTACAACTATGACATATTCTATAAAGAATAAAATTCAACAAGAACAAAAATGAGTATTTGTTAAGTCGTGCGCTAAAGCTTTGAAAGGAGATGTCTTGTGTCAATCAAATTCACGAGCACTAATATTTGAAATGTAAAGCTGCTCATAATAAGTGGTTGTGCACGTGTCGAGAAGAAGGAAGATGACTTTGCTAGGAAGTGCTAGGGTGTTAAGGAAGGGAGTTGGAAGGATGAAATTGTGAATGTTTCGATGACGAGAAATTATTAGGTGTGGAATAAGTACGTGCGAATTTTGTTGTATTTTGATTGTATTTGTTGTGTCAGTACAACCAAAATATATTGAAATCCATATGTGCAGAATTCACACTTAATAATTTTTCCTCGATGGCTGGTTTTTTCTCGTGAACTGGGAGAAGAAACACATGGATAAGGAGAGGAAGGATCGTGTGGCCTAGAGAAAGGAGAGTTTTGAATTGCTATGGTGCAGGGATGATCGAAGCAGGAAAAAGGGGAAAACAATTATATGTGGTTTAACAAATCAAGAATGAACCTAGGAAAATTGAGACGGTAGTGATATAGATGTGGATTCCGCACATGCAAATTTTGTTGTGTTTTGGTTGTATTAATTATATCAGTACAGCCAATACAACCAAAATACAACGAAATCTGCTTGTACGTACGCCGCACCTAATAATTGCTTATTTCTATTAGCACGTTTTAGAGGGCATAAATGCAAAATAGATTATTTAGTTGTTAGATTTGAAAAATATATAAATATTATCTTTATCATAAAACATGGACTAATCAAAATATTTAATATAATATTAACATTTTAATCACTTGAACTCAAAATTTCATTACTGAGTTTATAAGCATGATTATAATAAAAATATTATATTAAATATTTGAGTTGAGAAATTTACATAGAAAAGAAGCTGGCATTAAACCCTAAACACTGTTGCCCTTAAAATTTCTGAGCACGATTCCCTTTTCCAATGGTTCTTACCCGAATCATCTTCTTCAATCGTCTGATTTCTTCTCGTACAACCCCGATTTCCCTTGATACCATATCTCGCCGGGAGTTCTTCCCCGTGTTTATCGTTGATTCATCTCCTTTCTTTCTTACCAGGGGAATCTCTTCACTCGTTGGTGGGGATTCTAAACCTGCGAAACCGAAGAGTCTGTCATCAATATTTGCCGATTCATCAGCGGATTCGCAATCCAAAAAGCCACTACTTTGCCCTAGCGATGTTAAAGCAAAGTGGGGGAAGAGAGACGAGAACAAGCAACAGCAAATTGTTAGAGCTTCCATGTTTTGTCATATGCAAGAGAAAAAGTTCCCTGAGGAACTCTCTCCTGAGGCAGCGCTGCTCTTGAAGGTTTTGCAGGAGGAATTGTATGTGAAGTTGCAACCCAACGAGGTCCGGGCAAATTTGCCTTCTCGACATCTGCTTAGGTTGGCAGCGGAGAAGCTAGGTCAGCGTCATCAGGAAATTGCTAAGTGAGTTGTTTTGCTATTGGATTAGATAAAAAGTGTACTTTTCTGCTAATGGTTGTATGTAAGTTCACATGTTTGAATTGTTGGATTCAACATTGTGTTTAAACTACACCAAAACTCCACTAGCACGACAAAGATAAGAGGAAAGTAAGAATGTAGAGAATAAAGGAAGTTTAGATTGCAAAGTAGTAAGAACTTTCATTTTTGCAATATAATAGAATTGCGTACAAGATATTATGTAACTTGAATTGTTCTGGTAATCACTTAGTTGTAAACTTGGATCAGAGTTGTAGCACTACTAGTAATACTATGTATTTATAAGTGATTAGGATTACAAAGAACTGAGCTCAAGCCAAGTCGATCCGAGTATATTGTGGATTGGACTTAGCTTACTCATATTATAAGCTGTTTATATTCGGTTTAAGCTCTGGTCGGGCTTTAACATGTATGTTCATGCTTTGCTTTGTTGAATTTTTTTTAATAATCTTATTTGGCTTATTTATATTAACTGAATGAGTAATAAATAATTTAAAATTAGAATAATAATTTAAAAATTAGAATGAGTATCTAGCTTTTTCAAATACATGTTAATAAATAATTTAACAAATCTAAATAAACAAGCAATTCAATATATTATGAATTAGTATATTACACCAATTAAATAAGGTATATATAAGTTGTGAGCAACTTTCTTTGCAATCAAATAACATAAATAAGTACTAACAAACTTATTCATTGAATTTCAAAAATAAAAATGAATTGTATTTAATTTTTATTCATATTGATTTTAAATTATAAATATTATTATATGATTGATAATTAATTCTAAAATTTTATTGATATTAAATTATAATATATTTTTATTAAATATATAATTAAACAAGTTATAGTTATTCAAATTTTATTTAAATAATATATCATTTATGATATGAACTATTATTGAGCTTAATATTGAGCATTTAACAACTTATTTGTTGAACAACAAATGAGTTTGTTTGTGACATAAATAAATGAGTTGGTTCATGTTCAATTATCTAATCAATGATCATGAACAAGCTCTAATTGAGTCGAGCGACTAGAAGTTTGTTAAATATTTGGTTCATTTGTAGCCCTTGATATAATAATAAGTTAAAGTAAATTACATAACAAAATCCTTTGAAGTTTCTACATGAATATTTTCTTTTCCTTTTTGTTTTTCTTTCTTCTTCGTCCTCTCCAATCAAGTTTATAAATCATGAACATTTTCTCTTCTTTATTGTTTCTTATCTCTCATCTTCCTCAATTGTTATTTTTTGTCACAGCTTTGAGAGTTTCTACATTTTGCATCAACGATTTTATGCAGACCAATTTTAGTCTTCCATGTCTAATTACCGATCACAATATAAAAATTTTGCAAACAGTATGTGATGGTCATAGAGGCATCCTAATTTGATCTTTTATAGAAGAGAATTCCCAAATTTATATAAGAATGATAAGCTTTGCTTTTATCATGAACAATTTTTCCCTCTCCTTTTTGGCTGAGTTATTTACTATTTTGCCATTATGGGTTGATTCTTGCTCAAGTTCTTCCCATTATTTTTCATTGACAGCTACATTCTTCTCATTTTTGCATAAACATTACATTTATTTGAATATGTGTCATTTTAGTATATATTTAAAATAAAAGTGCTTAAAAAAGGTTTCATTCTTTTTTTATCATAAAGTATAAAAATCATTGGATTGAAGAAAATGAGTCATTGAAGAGGAAATATTTTTGCATGTGAAGTCAGCCAGTGATGGCACATAAGCACTCGGCCAACGATACCGGGTTGTTTAGAGGCTACCTTTGCACTTTTCTATTAAAGATGTTCATTTTGAACTTACCAATGAAATATTTTTCATTGTAATGATTATTTGTTTGCATTGTATTAATTATTTATTGAATTTCCTTGTTGAATCTATTATTGAACTTATATATAATAAGCCCTAAATGTATTTATGAGAACTGTGTTTATCCCATTTTGAATTTTTTCATAGTATAGATGTATAATTCATGTAAAATTTGCCAATAAAAGATTGGAATTGTATTAAATATTTGTTAAATTCACATGTTGAAATTTCCGTTTGACTTTCATGTAATAAGCCTTGAATTAATATGAGAATGTTGTTACTCCTTTTTTTTTCTCTAAATATGATATTGTTGCTTCTCAGCCACTCTTGGCGGAACCTCTTCATAATTGAACTTGGTAACTTGTCTATGATGAGTTTTAGATCTAGATTTGCTCGAGATCTTATTAAGGCTAAAAGACGAGCAATTATTAAAAAAACAAAACATTGATTTTATAAACTTAAGTCGTCTAAGCTAGGTTTTGTCGAGTACATTAAGAGTAATTTTTAGGAGAAACCTAAAGAAGTGTTTAAGAAACTTGAAGAAACGTTTTAAGTGAGAATTACTAAAATTGTGGGTTGAAATACAATTTTTGAAGGATTGCTTAGTTCAGTTTGAGATATAGCGTGAAGAGTTTGAAAGTTTATTCTTGGTCTTTAAGGAGCGACATGCTGAGTTAGAGAATCAAAGTGAATCACAAATAGGGAAAGAATGGCTTTCACATGTTTGAAGGGATGTAGATGATTTCATAAGTAAATTTTGTATATTTAAGGCTAGGCTCAGCCAAATGAAGTGTAAGGGGATGAGCTCATTAGGTTGGGCACAAGACAAACTAGCTGGATAGTTCAAGAATGGAGCTTGTTAGCCAAGCTTGGAATGAACCTTGAGTTGATTCGCCAATTGGGTTTTATGAAGAGGTCTTAGCCAAGTTTGAGATTGGCTCACTAGCCAACTGAAAAGGGAGCTTCATGGTGGCTCATGATACAATTGTCTAATACCCGCTCCAAATTAGCCCGATTGGTCCAGATTATAGAGCCACTTAGCAATCATCATTAGAAGACCCATTGAGTCTTTAATTTTCAATTACAGACTTTTAGTTCTAATCCGAGTTTATATTTGTGTTACATGACCATTTCATTTTCTTATTTTTCAGTATTATTGTAACATGCGTAGCTAATTCTATAGCTTTTGTTGTAGTGCTCTAAATATCAGATCTTTATTTATAAATTAGGAATCTTAGGAAGAATTGAGGGTTCTTCCTCTGAAATCTCAGTTTTGTATCTCTTTTATTCTTTTTTGCTCTCTTAAGCTTCATATTGGATTTTCCCTTCCCATAACTCTTCTCTACTCTTTCTTTTGTTCTTTCTTATTTTCTTTGAATCAGTAAGATTCTACTATAACTCATGTAAAAAAATAGGATCCAATCATTGTAAATAATATTTTGTGAATCACTTTTTGTAATATTCATTGTTTCTGTCATATTGTACAGGAGAATTGACGGAGTAATTAGATTAAACTTTTTGAATAATTTGAGAAGAACTAGCAATTGAATATTTAATTACTAATTTAATATTCTATCATAATGAGCTATTGTTTTGATTGATGTTTATTCGCTCTTTGTAAACGTCAACATTGCTATTAGTTTACAAATAGTTTCATGTTGGTTCCCTTTTGATTTTGCTTGGCTATTTCCTCTGCTTTCGCCATTGTAGCTCTACAAAATCTTTCTTCATAACAATTTTTCCTTGGGATCAAATATAATTCTAGAAGAACAGAAGTTTGTTAAAGATAAAACGTTAACAAAGTTAATAACGGTCAGCCAAAGTATCTTTTACTATTCAGCTGACCAGCTGACCCCAATCCTTCTTAAATGAAAATAAAGCTGAGCAAAATCTGAGGACTTTGAGTTGATTTTTTTGGAGACCTTATACGAGAAATGTTCTTACAAAATGTCAGGACTTGCATATTCTTTTATGAAAATGCACGATGATAGCCAAAGTATCTTTTTGAAAATATAATTGCATTATGTTGATAATCATTATTTTTTATTAACTTCAAATAATAATATTTGTTATTGTTAATAAAAAAATTAAATTCATGTTTAATCATTCTGTGAGTAGGTTTCATAAAAATAACAAATCATGTCATTAATTCATCCTTTTGATATGTGGAACAAACAATATTTCAGTTTTTAGACAAATTAGTTATGTTCTTTTAGCATCAGCTCTGGGAATGGAATATTGAGCAAAGATGTGAACTGCTCTATTGTTGCTACTTCACATCATAGGGAGTTTTCTTTTGAGATAAACTTTGTGCACCTGAAAATGAAGATGCAAATTTCACATATTCGTCTGTTTTTTTACCTATTTGATGTTAATTTTTAATTTGTAAATCAGCTAATTTATTTCTCCTTACTAGTTTTTATTGTCCCGTCTTCTCTCAAATGATCAGTTATGATTAATGACAGGTGGTTATCTGGAAGTCACCTAAAAAAGGTTGCTCTGCTTGGTTGCCCATCTATCGAGAGAAAAACAGTGTTTGCATCCAAACGATTACGTTCGTTCTTCAATATTCAAGAAGATATAGTAAGTAACGTTTTTTAACCCTCTGCTCAAAAAATTTCAAGCTGTTTTTCTAAAAATGAGAAGTGATATCTAGTAGTAGTTTAAAATCTTTACAGATATGCCGTGGTTGCAAGCTAAAAACTTCTTGCAAATTTGTAAACCAAAGAGTAGACAAAGTGGAGAGAGTGATTTTAGCCGATGTAATGAGGCTCCTCACTATATTAGCTTTTGATGCTGTTCCTCAGCAACTGTCAGTTCCTTCTGATGTGAAACTCTCTGTCGATAAATTGCTGAAAGAAGCCATCAATCTAAGTGCATGACATGCATGATAGTTCAGAGTTTTTCCAAATGGAACTGAAATATGTACAGTTATTGATAGATCTGAAAGGAAAAGAAGAGGAATATTGAAGATGTTTCAGCCTTTTAAGCAAATGTAAATGCCTCAAGCCACGTCTTCGGATAATGGCTCTGCTATTGTTTTATGGTAAGAAAATTCATTTATGCATGAATCTCATTATGCACATTAGAACTATGGAGCCTGGCACCCAAACTGAAAGAAAAAGTTGTCCAGGAGATTATATGCATATATGTGGAATGAAATATAGACGATTTGAGCTCTTTACAACCAGACTAATAGCAGCCCGCATTATAGAAATTGGAGCTTGATTTTCACTATGTTTGTTGGCTTATTGCCAGTCATCATGCAAGCATCCTACCAGGGATTTTCAACTATGTTAGTTTGTTTTCCAGTCTGTATGACAATAAACTTGTCCTCTTATAGGGTGGTAATTCAATTTCATTTTGGGGGGCATATACATAAATAGCACACATTTCTTATGCATTCACATATCAGAGCTAAACTTTCATATTTACACATATCGCACAAATTCTTAATATCGCATCATAAATAGCATTATTATCACTTTTTTTTAAAATGAAATGTACCTTTTCATGTTTGAAGCACAAAGTGCTATGTATGTACATATGAAAGTTTGGTATGAGATATGTAAATACATATGAAATGTCCCGTTAACTATTTTAAAGAGGTTGATAACACCACCTCCAACCTATGCGACTTGTTTTTGCTATTCAAATAGTCACCTTATCTTTCTTGCTTACGAAAGGTTAAAGTATATTGAAAATGCACGATGATAGCTCAATAACTTAGCTTCTGCTTTTGAATGGAGCCATCTTGGATTGTACATTTCCAAAATGACTAGCGAAGATGGTTATGGAAGCCATGAAGGAAAAAAGGTAGAGAAGCATTAGTTTATGGTCTTCAGAACCAATTTCTCGTGGCGATGCACACTCGTTGAATGGTTTATGTATGTTTTATTCGTTAAGCAAGCCAACTGAACGCTAACAATTTTTTTTAGCTTGACTTATGAACGAGCCGAACACAAGTATAAAGTTGTTTGTTTGTATTTGGATCGTTTTGGCTCAAACTAATTAAATAAATAAATAATATTATTAATTTATATCTTTTTATTTTAATTTTTTATATGTATTAAAAATGCTAAAATTAATTCATTGAAAATTTTATTTTGGTCTTATGTTCATAAGTAAATAAGTTTAGGCATTAGATATGTATATAAATATGTATATATATTTAAATTTTGCTAAAATAAAGCATTAGTGTAATCAATTTTTTTATAATTTAGGAATTATATATATATATATATATATATATGTAAATGTATAGACGCATTTTCTGTCCGGACACCTGACGTACCTCTACGCACGGCGAAAGTTATTTTTGAGTTATTTTCAGATTATTTCTGGGTTATTTTCAATAATATTGAAATAACCCAGAAATAATCAAAAAATAAAGACCGGGGGTTATTTCTGAATTATTTTCAAGATTATTGAAAATAACTCGGAAATAACCTGAAAATAACTCAAGAATAACCCACGCCGCATATAGAACTATGTCAGGAGTCTGCACAGAAAAAACGCTCCATAGTGAGGCCTTAAATCTTGCTTAGAATAGTTTATATAAATACAAAAGAATTTGGTGGTATTTATGTAATTGGTACCCGCAAGCCATAACTCGGCGGGGTTTGCCACTAGAGTTTTACATTTTTAGTCCCTCCTCGTCTCAATAGAAAAGAACCCGACTAACAATATTCCTTTCCAGAACATGAGTTTATTTCAAACATAAAAATTTATAAACGAGTCCAATACAAAAAAAAAAAAAAAGAATATTGTGCTCAATTACGCCTTCAAGTCTACAGGAAGTTCTTCTGTACGGATACCGTGCTTAAATTTACATGTAGTGTATGATCAGGATAGCTGAAATATATATATTTTTGTTTTTTCTATTGTTAGAGCGAGGCTCACTCTAATTTTTTTCACTGTTTTGATCGGACACAGCACGTAAAATTTAAGTGCGGTGTTCGTACACAATAATTTTTCTCAATCTAGATGCTAATATATATATATTTCTAAGAACATATTTGTAGGTGTACACAAGTGCGTATGAGATTTGCGGCGGAGAAAAACTTCCAAGTAAATTCACATTCATGCTCCGCGTTCGTGGGGACCACACCATCACGTGCAAATGACACCGTACAGCCAGAAAAACTGGCTTGATACTAAACTGTTAACCGATTCACACTGGACCGGAAAATCAAGCGACTTCGGTTCAAACCACTGGACCGTCCTCGCACGTGCACCAATCGTGCGTGTGTTATTTATTTAATAATTATATTTCGCTATTTTTAATCTTATTATTTAGCAATTATGTAGGCGCTTAATTTTGGGGGCAAGGCGCAGGCATTTTTATCGGCAGCTTCGGCATGGCCCGCATGCGGGCCCCACCGTCACGCGGCGCGAGAGGCGCGCTGCTCCCACCTCCTTTCTTTCGCGTGGGCCCCACAAACCGTCAAACTACATCGTCATCGAATGCCGGTCCCACATCCTCCTCCTCGCTGTCTGATCATTTCAGCGAAACACGGAACTGATCAATCAGAACTTGCCTCGTGGCACTCGTGATCTCCCTCCCCCCCCCCCCCCCCCCTTTCGCCCGTGACAACGTTGGAGCACCGTACAGTCTTCTGAACCGAACCGGTTTGGATTCCTCGGCTTCTCAACATCACCGTCCGTTAGTCTACTGGACTGAGAAAATGAAATGTACGGTGGATGATGATTCGTCCCCGCAGTCAGAGTCTCTCCGACAATATTCGAGTTGTCATTGGACGATCTTCGCTACAGGGATGGCTACACAAAATTAGCAAATACAAGTGTAGCCCTTGTGTAGCCCTGGTGGCCTGCAGCGAAGTCCAAATACATTTACCACTTTATCCTTGAAGTAGCATCGTGGCATTCTCGTAGTTTTCTGCAATAGTTTGGATATTTTATTTTTGCCCTTTTTCTTTCAGAGGCTAACGCCGTCTATCTAACAAGTGTTGATGGGGGAAAGGTTACAGCTCGTGAGCTCCAGCAAATTATATGGTCGCTTGATTCTGATTTGAAGTAATGATCGTCTTTCTCTCTCTCCTTCAGATCTGCTGCTGATGTAGTTGCTGCTTCTGCTGCTGGTGCTATTTTTCTTCTTTGGAAGTGCTGGATCTCTGTGCTTCGAGAGCGTTGTTCTAGTAAGATTTGAGATTGTTTTGTGACAATTTCTAAGCACTTTTAGTGGAAGGTTTGGGATTGTTCTGTGACAATTTCTAAGCAGTTTTAGTGGAAGATACGGGGATTGAGTGGCTTGAAGGGCGATTAGGGTTTCAATTTGTTTTTTAGGAAGAGGATGACTTCGGGGACGAGGCTGCCCACATGGAAGGAGAGGGAGAACAACAAAAGGAGAGAACGGCGGAGGCGTGCGATCGCTGCGAAGATCTACGCTGGCCTGAGGATGTATGGGAATTACAAACTTCCCAAGCACTGCGATAACAACGAGGTTCTCAAAGCTCTGTGTAACGAGGCTGGATGGGCCGTCGAGCCTGATGGCACCACTTACCGAAAGGTACAATGCTATTTTGTTTTCACTTTCTCTTCAATGTAAAACCTGCGAAGATTGTTAACGAAGTTCATTTGTGATTCTACGGAAAGGGGGTTTATTACTGGATTTTTGACCTAGGCAGCAGGCTATGTAACGTTTGCAGGCAGGGCACGGAAGTTCAATGAGTTGTGTAGTTAGCCTTTCGCAAAACCAATTGTTGAATATTAGAAAATTCTTGTTTGGTAAGCCGGCAGAATCACAGCGAGTGGTTTCACAAAACTGTACTCATTGATTAGGGTTACCCAAAATAAAAAATTGATTGAAAAAATCGATGTTCTCGTTCGATCATGTTTTGCTCATAAAAATATGATTCCTTAACAGCGTTTCAAGTAGCGATCGAGAATGAGAACTTGAAGTTTTTCTTATAAATATAATGATGTTTCCTGTCTTCGCTTTTGCCGGTGGATCGGCTCATATTACTTCCATTCCTTTAGGGTTTCTGCTTTTTAAGTTAGATTTTTGTTGCTCTTTGGAACAAATTACTCAATGTGAAGGCCAGCTAGGAAAGTAAGATTTAAGAGGATTTGAGACCTATTATATGGCTATCGTCTTCAAATTGCCCAGGTGTGAAAGCGCAGGAATCTTTGAATTTGATCGAGCTGCTTTTTTTCTGGATTTCTTGATTTCCAGCATTTAGATTTCTGAGTCGTTGGTCTCATAAAAACCCTTGTCGGCCCAGCTAGTTTCTTGTTTTCATGGTTTATGTTTATATATCTAACATCTAAACTTTCAAACCTATGACATCACATCAAAATTAGTCAATTTCTATGAGTGAAATACAATTTATCCTTAGTTTAATGACATATAAATGTAAAGATCAAATTTTTTTGTGGTAGATATGTAAATATATATGAATTTCCCTTTAATTTATTATCCTCTGATTTTCTTTGTTTCTGCAAAATAAAGTCTTTTTTATTTATTTATTTTCTCACTAACAATATGATTAAATGGTTGAAATACTTGCCTTCGATACATTTCATTGCAACATAGGAATTCTACTAAAATTGGTGGCTGCACATGTTGGCTTGCCACAGTTTTACTAATTTCTTTTTTATGATTCCGATTATCATGACTGTAGAAATCCAAGCAGTATTGGCTTTAGCTTTAAATAAAAATTAGTAATTTTGTTTAGGTTCAAGAGTTTTAAAACCCCACTGTAATGTTATATATGATTTTACCAATCGAAGAACATATGTTTAATGTACTGGCAACTCAATTATCTATATAAGCTCAAAACCAACAAATCCAATCGATTATAAGCCCAAAATTCAGACTTGACATCTTGACTTTAGAAATCCTAGAATTATTAACTTAGCTCTAGATAACTAATTATTAACGTTGTTCAAGCTTTTTAAGTTTTGAACTCCCAAGTAAATAGGATTTTTCCAATTAAAGAACATATGCTTAATTTAGTGGTAACTCAAATATTAATATATGCTGAAGTTCAATATATATATATATATATATATACACATACATACATTCAAAAAATTTGGCTAAAGACTGTGATACGAGCACTCAACCAAACTCATGTGCCTAACCACTGGACTTATCCGCTCATTGGCGGGTTCAAACTCCTGACCCATGGGACATTAGAACTGATTTTGCAGATATATATATATATATATATATATATATATATATATATATATATATAATTTAAA